GCACTAAAAACCCATAATAAACCTTATAAATTTCACTATGGGACTTCAGCTCCTCCCTTGAATGATCCATCTCGCTAAGCGGGACCTCAAAACAACGATATTAACGATACTGTGTATCCTAAGGGAGTGTATATACTTTCCTGGCTGTTGTCACTCACAGTGAGGTGATGGTAGCTTATACTCTAATAGACCTAATACAGTCAAACCTCCATGTGCGACCGCCTCCCATAAGCGACCGCTAATCCAAAAGACCGAATTTTCCCAGTCAAAGCCTTACAGTTGGAACCTCTAGTAAACGACCACCTTCTGTAAGTGACCGCGACCACTTTTTGGGCGTCATGGTTAATTGTTTTCCATAAGCGACCAGTTGACGCATTCTGGTTCGGATAGACGCCTTACTACCAGTAGTGGGCGGAGTTGAGGGCTTCCGGAAGTGGGCCCACCACTGAGCCGGTAGTGGTGGCCTCACCCTTCTAGCCCGGCTAACATTTCTCCACTTTGGCTCGCCCAGCTAGCTGGGACAACACGGTCAAGACTAGACAAAGACACCATGCGCAAGCACTGTTGACTCGAACAAAGTGGTCAATTTTTCCTCATATAAACGCTCGCAAAAGTTGGCTCGGCTGGGAGGTTGACCCTCTCTCCGGCACAGCTTTTCTCCATCCATGGGTTCCAAACAGTCTTTTAGCAGTCACGTTTGAAATTTATAGGAAAATGATGAAGCACTTCAAAAAATAATAAAAAATACGCTTTTTTCACAGCCTGTCAATACCTAGAAGGTGTCTTTAAAAGAAATCAACTGCAGAACAGGAGCCAATTTCATTTTTTTGCGCTTTTCACGCTAGCACTGCGAAGCGGACTGGGGGCGCGAGACACGCGCGATGCATGGGGAACAAGTTCTGCAGGCTATAAAAGAAATTTTAAAAAAACAAATAAAGCAAGCCTGATTTTATTTCGATGAGACTATTTTTTGTCGAAAGCAAACGTGAAAAATCGTATTAAAATTCGTGACAGTATGCTAACGTGACTTAAGCGTGTGACCGATTTCCGGTTACACGCCAAAGGTCATACGATCTTGTGCGATGTTTATTATCAACCGACGAACGATTAAGTGATGAAGGTTTTCAAAATCGAAGTCATTAGTTTGCGATGAATTTCAATCTTTTGGCCTCCTGACTGAAGTAGAAACTCTTGTAACTCTTGCTTCTAAAGGACCGCAGTGACGTGTTGTGACTTTATTTCGATTCACGGCCGGATTCTGACTCAGTTGCTGAGCAAACGTACGTTTGTCTTTTGGACCTTTTGGCTTAAAATTATGGATTTTGAGACTCAAACCGACGCAACAGAAGTTGGAAATAACTTTCCTTACTGTAAAAGTGTGTTACGAGCAATGGTGAGTAATCCTTTCATGTAAAACTTTTCTTTTAATTTGACAACCGTCGGCAAGCCGTCTTATTTGCATAAATTTCCAAATTCAATTGCTCTCACCGCTTGCTTTAGTGTCAGGATGGTATTTGATTTCCAGAGCTAAAACTTTCCAGTAAGTTAGTACAAAAGACAAGGTTCCATTTTATATTTATTTTATGATCAAGCGGCATATACCAGAGGCCTTTTTTAATACTCAAAGTTGGCCTTCGTTTTCTAGCATGTCTAACGTCACATATATGACCTCTTTAGACTTGTCGATTATAAAAATATAAAACATTGTTTTTCAAATTTTCTTTCAAGGTTTTTAAGAGTAAGAACAAAATAATAATTCGGTGAAGTTTCAATGTCAGGGAATGTTTCTTACGCGTTCACCCTTCTCTCGAAGTTGCCATTGCATCCTGCCGTGTTTTGTTCGAAAAACAGACATAAAATCGATTTTTCAAACTTTTTTTAATTTCTCCTTTAAAATGAATCGTTTGAACCCAAAACTATTTTTCCTTAAATAAGGTCACTAAAAGGGATGTTTTGGCGAAATAAAAAAAAATTCGATTTTTTGACGAGTGTCTTGCGATTCTCGATTTTCTCAGAAAATGGCTCTTAAAAATGGCTTTTTTTTTCACTGCCACCAAAAAAAAACTCTCGGAACGTTTTGTGTTTTGATTTAAAAAAACCTAAATTATTACATTTGTCGTTCTAATTATGATCAATTGGTAACAAAACTTCTTGTCGCCCATTTCGGTCTGTAATCATACTCGTGAGTAAACAAATCAGACTCCCGCTTCGCGATCGTCCGATTTTGGTAATTATTCGTATGATTACGGTACAAATTGGACACCACTCAGTCCTATATAACCATTATTTAAAGCCAGAGTAATTACTAGATAACCACCTAAATGTGCTATTTCAGTCAACAGGATATGTGACTCGATGAAAAAGACCATGACAAATGGTTTAAGGGTTGTGATACAAATCTCAAAACTACGATGAGCAGTTTGTTTTATCATTTTTATCATGGAAGGGAAAGTTACGGCATCTTTATAGCCACCTAAACTTCGAAAACAAATATTAAATGACTAGAATGTCGCCAACGATGCCAGTGGCGGAGAAAAAATTGACTTAGGTGTTTAATGATAGGAAAATCGCCATTTCAGATTAGTACTGGTACCGCTATGATTTTTACCACTTTTTTAAAAACAGAATAAGACACTAGTGAGCTGTCGTCAAGGAGGATTGGAGGATGCACGTGCGAACAACAGCACGTGTGGGAACAACAGATTGTACCTCATGAATTTCCGAGACTTCAACGATTCAACTGTTAAGAACAAGGTGCTTGACAAGATTCACTTTTATTCATAAAACTTGTGTGTGTGTGTGTTTTTTTTATGCTTTATTACGAACACAGAAAGTACGAAATATTTACACACACAAATAGAGGGGGGAAAGGTTACATGATGAATACATTAAATAATTGGATATTGTTTTTATTACTACATTTCATAAACTAGATATTTAAGGCTGATTGTTAAGCCTATTCTTATCGTAGACACGGAAAAAAACAAACCACAGCAGAGGCATTTCTCTTCTGCATTCTATGCGCTATCGTAGATTGATTCTATTAACAAATTCCTGTAGGAGTAAAGCGTCTTTGCTCAATTATAACTTGTGATCTGATTTGCTCTGAAAATTTCAAAATCATTTTTAACTTAAAGTGCTTTTTCCATCGAGCCCTTCAAGCGCGCACTCAATGTGATTCTAAATCTAACTTCCTTAGTGAATAGAAGACGTACCTTAGAATAGCAATGAAAACAACGCAAACTTATGAAAATGGTAGGCAGGTAACTAACCAAAGTGACATTTAGTCTAGTTAATCTGGGAATTACTATGATATGAGTAGAAATGTGGCTGTCATTTCACTACGCTCACAGATCATAAATAGTCTCTCTTGCGTTTGTACTACATCTACTAAAGGTGATGACTGTCAGTGAAGTATTTGCCAAACAGCTCATGCAGATCAGTGGAGTATCTCCAGACAAAGCAGTTGCGATCTTGGAAAAATATCCAACACCTAAAAGGTATGTTCACTCTACCTTCTTTTTTAGTTGCTAAGTGCAATCTAGATTTTTGATTGGAAAAGTTTTGATATTAAAATGCGTTTTTTTATGAGAGGCTTCCATGACAAAAGAATCGTGGACGTTCTTACTGTACTCTTCTTTTGTTTGACTCTAGGCTGCTTGATGCTTATAAATCTCAAGGGAACGCGAAAGACAGGGAATTGCTTCTTTCTTCTCTGAAATGTGGCAAGAATCAAAGGTATTGTTTGTTTCTTTTCACGTTAAAAGCTGAAACTTTAGAAGTGTTCCTCTTTATGTAAGTATTGTAGTTCATATATTCATTCTTTTCTTGTTTTCCGGAACTATGAGGTATATATTGTTGACCACGCACCGGAAAGAATTTATCAATGTATCGCGATGGCGGGTTTTAAAATAAGCTTATTAAAATACGTCGTCCTTTTTTGCAGAAATTTGGGTCCGTCTCTCAGTAAAATGATTTATCAGCTGTACTGTTCACCTGTTCTGTCGTAAATTTGCTGGATTGACTAAACATCTACATAAGCAGAATGTCCATACGCGACTGAGAAACCGAGCAACAACGTTGTGCTCGAAAACCAGCTAAGGACACAAAAACGGGACAAGTTTAATCTACCAGTTGGACAATTTAATGCTGCCACCATCAAGTCCGTCTCGAAAATGGAAATTACGTCAGTCTTTGAAAAATGAAGTTGAGACAAGAGGATCACCGTCTCGATTTAAAGTACAGTTTCTTTTTTTTCGCCCGTGCTGCATGAAGTGCAGAGAGAGAGAGAGAGAGAGAGAGTTTCTGGTAACCATGCAGTAACCAAGAAAGCCGGCCGTTGTATTAGCATGCTTGTTGAAACGAGCTGGCTCATAAATTGAAATTCTCAAATTCGAACTTTAATTTCGAATTGATTCGATATGGTTTTGTTCTTCTCAATAAATAGGAAATTAATAGTTTGTAGAACGTTCAATTTCGTCATTTTTTGACGACTTCAAATTTTTTCAAAATATTTAGTAAACAAACCCAAACTCTCGTCATAAGTAATAATTAACATTAAAAAAATAACTATAGAGAGGAAATACGATTTTTGTATAATTATCATCCTTTTACTTTAAAATTACTAGTCTACGACTCATTGGTATGTTTCCGTTTCCTTCTTTATTTTTCAGTTTTGTTAAGTAAAATAGATTAAATCGATACTTTTAAGACCGACCTTTAAGGTCACGTTTGCTGTTAATGTAAGACTACTGCAGTGGCCAGGAAAAACCTCTGGTACAGACATGAATCCGATACCACGACTTTATTGAACATAGAAGAAGTATCACTCTCAAGAAGTAATATTTTTGCTCTTATAATCTTGTGTCAATAAATGCGTCAGCGTTTAGATTCTTGAACGCTTACAGCCTGTAAGCGTTTAAATTTAAGAAAATCTTTCATTTTCCACTTATGTTAATATATTTTGCGAAGTTGACATCACAAGCTCATTAGATGTGGTCATGGATTTCGCAAAGGTATACAGAGCAGAAATCACTTTGGCCTACTACTGTTTTAATTTGTCTCTAACAATCGCTGTCTTTATTTTTGGAACGATCTATTTGAGACACAGAGATAGAAGGGATCAGCAAAGAAAAGAGTGGCGGAAATTCGCGGAAACTATCAGAGGACAGTACAGTACACTGAAAGATAAACAAGTTCTTTCTGGGGTGTCAAAAACGAACGAAAAATTCGGAAACGTTGTGATTTGCCCAGGCATCACCGGCCTTGACGTTTTAAGGTACATGTTGAATAATTCTGACTTCAAGTCTCGTTCCACTTGGCCAAGGAGCCCGTTGTGCGAACTCAGAGAAGACCTTAACAGCATCTTTCAGTTGTTAAATACTTGTGCCTCTTTAATACTATTGGGACCTGTCCCTAGCAATATAAGAGCAGAGCTTGGGAAACTGGTCACTGATCTGGGAGAGATGACATTGCCATTTTTCTTGGGAGACCAGCGTCAGACAGTCTTGACGTGCTTGAAATATTTTAGCAGCGACAGAAAACCAGCGATGGAAACTGAAAACAGACTGAGAGATGTTGACAGAAAAATTTTCAAAGAGGTGCCGTACATTAAATGCTTACGCTTTGAAAAAGGTCGACGATCATCGGAGATAAGCAAATTTACTTTTGTAGTCGATCTGGTGCTCGTTCCAGCTCACCCATTAAAATTTCTGAATCAACTACAGTGGTTACTAGAGGATGAAAATTACTTTTCAGAATTGGCGAGAGAACTTCGAGAACATTTCAATATCCCCAAATACATTGGCAAAATCGACTTGGACAGTGATGAACTGGTAATTGCCAAAGTATTACATGAGGTACGTGTGTATGTACACCTTTTGGGGTTGAGCAAAGGAGCGATTGACGAAGGAGTTAGCCGGAACATAGAGATACTCAGGGAAGTATACGAACGCGTAACGAAGGTGAAGCCGGAAGCGGAAATTGTTAGACATACTTGTGAACGATTCATACAAGATCTTTCAAATCTGAAGAAGAGCAAGCATTCCTATCACAGCTGCGCTAGTTTTAGGGAGGGGCTCACAGAGCTGTATGAAACATTCTGCAATTTGATTATCATCAAGAAAAATGTCGCGGATTCCAGTCCGTCTCCAACTTCAGCAGAAGTGGAAACGAGAGATGCAGACACCATCTACAATTGTCAGTATGAAAGCTACGTATAAGGGCTCTCGTAGTAGTAACATCCGCTATAGTGATGCGAATTTCGTCCGTGTGTGTAGGGATAGAATCATCTCGCTCACTAAGCAAGTTATATTTTTTGACAGAAATTAGTAGCTCGCTCTGTATCCGAAAGAAATTTAGATAAGCACTGAGCTAAATGATACAAACTTTGATTTATTGGTGAATATATCAACTTTCCAAGGCTTAAAATTACAGTCGAGAATAGTTGTAAAATATATCATAAGCTCACTGGACTAAGAAGACATTTGAGGAGCTCTGCAACTGCATTTCAGTATAAGCTTACAAACTGCAATACATGCACCTAATGAAGTATTTTTATTGGGCAGAATTTCCAGGTTGTTTTTGTAGACGGTAAAATTTGCTTGCATGTCCAGAAACGTTAAACTACTAGGACTAACTTTACAGACACCTAGGGCCACTTCACATGGGCCAGGTTTCCGAGATCTCGCCTTTGATGGAAGACAAAGTCCTATTTTGCCAAACGGTAACATATAATCCTAGCATAGTCGAAAGTTCGTCCCAAGATCCCTTCACTGCTGTCTATAGATTTGTTGACATACAGATGACAGAGTCCCTCAAGTACAGTCTACTTATACAGCTTAGCATCATTAACGCATAGTTAAACAATCTTGGAATTTACTTAAAATGTTATTCTATTTTAAATTTCACATTACTTGCAATAATATCAGTTTCAATAAAAAACCCGATGTATGATTTTTGAGTAATAAAATTGTAACATTGTGTTGTGTGTATTAATGTATAAAATATAGGCTTGCAAACAACGCAAGACGAGGAAGCTTACTACTAGCCCCTTCCAAGATAAACGATTCATAGAAACCATAACTTATTTCAAATGCATAATATATCTCTCATTTTCCTTTGTATTGTCTGCCGTACTAATCTCAGTGAGCCTTTCCCCCCAACTGTTTAGTTTTTGCAGACGGTAAAATTTGGTTGCATGTCCAGAAACGATAAAAAAACTACAATCATGGACAAAAGTCCTTGGGACAGTAGCGCAATACTCATATTTTTCTGTTATTTCTCGGTTCCCTCATAAAACAATGCATCCTTTTCGAAATTTTCATGCAGTTCTCCCTTTCCCCACCCTATACAAAGTTTAATTTTGGAAAGCAATTCTGAATACACGCGTCCAACATTGTTTGTGGGGTGAGGGGAGGGGTTGGACCTGTGTGAATTATAAAACGCCCCAGAAATGCAAGTGTCCCCAGACTTTTGTCCATGATTGTAGGACTAACTTTACAGACACTTGGGGCCTCTTCACATGAGCCAAGTTTCCGAGATCTTGCCTTTCCTCTAAATCCTTTGTAAACTTTTAAGTGTGTTCATTTGAGAGTGCAGGCTGGCTTGGTTCCCGAGATCTCGGTAAGTGGGCTGAAAATTTTGCCATATGCGGAACCCTTCATCACGGTTACTGGAATCAAAAAGCGAGATGAATTCTGGCGGCCCGGATGTCGTCGTCTTGCATGGCCTGCTGTGTTCTCCACGTCATAAGCATCCCATTTAACTGCAGCGATACAGCATTAAGGGTTGCCGAAGCTATGGTGGCGCGAAAGTTATAATTTTTGTGTAACCGGGCTGATGTGAAGAGGAAATAGACACGGAGTCTATTGATCGCGGGGAACGAATGTCAGTGCTAGATATAATTTTCAAATCATCTTTACGAGCCAAACAATTCTCAATGAAAACTTGTTGATTAGTCCATACGAGCAAAAAAACTTCAATGATATGTACAATTCTTTTGCTGTGCGAATGCGAGCAACGAATAATGCAGCGAAACCCCTTTTCTGCGACCACCAGCGTTCGATGAAAATCTCATCAAAAAAACGAAGTGGTCGTACAGTATTACCGAGATGACCAAGGGCCAAAAAACTGGTCGCAATAACAAGTTAAGTCGTGTAGATAAGGCAGTCGAGTAAGGCGGGGTGGTGACACTGTATCACTGCAAATTGTCACTCGGAGCTTAAAATCCCAAGACAGACATTTAACTGCGGTTACTCCAGCCGTTTTACCCTTGGGTTAGTGGCTCTTGCCAATGGTTAAGCAACTGCAAACGATATTCTTAAGTGAAAATGCCTTGGGGAAATTTCTACGTCAAAAAAACTAAGACAAAAGAATTCCCCATGACAATTCCCGAGCTAGGTTCTATGAGTTTTTGAATAAGAACTCAAAGTGGCTCAACCAATCACGAGAAAGTGAAATGTAGCGAAGACTATAAAACACGTGTTATTCATTTGCTATGTTCATCTTGGCGCCAAATCTATCCTGAAGTTCGACCACACAACAGGATTTCCAGCCTTACGATGAACGTTCGTATGTGTAGTAAATTCAAAATCGCCTTGAGAAACTTAATATTTTTGTTTCCATCAGCAGTTTTAACTTAAAAGAGCCATTTCTTTATGAGGTAGTTGGAGCCAATTTTGCGAACATGCAATTTGACTGGTAAGTGAAATTTGTTGTTGTTTTGTTTTGTTTTGTTTTTTTTGAAGGAGAAGCTGAGAACATTAGATTAAACGCGTAAGGTTGGTCGAAACCTTCGTTTTCGTCTCAAAATTAAGCGTTTATCGCTATCACCAAACAAAGCTGAAATTATTAACGTTTTATGTAAAGGATGAAATGGTAGAAGACATTCTGCGTTTTATGCCAGTACAAGAGATCGGTCGAATTTTTTCCCCTCGGGAAATATATCAGCGTGTAACCGCAAGAGTTAGCCCAGCCGAAACTGCTGTTCCCAAGGGAGCTTTGGAGAAAATGTTTAGTGTAACCGCACCTATATGCCTTGCCTCCCAACTCAGTTTCATTCAAATCAAAACCATCACCTCAAAGGCTGAACTCGTAATTAATTACATTAATAATTATGAATTAAATTGGCAGCATGTAAAATCATCGTCCTTTCTCACTGGAAATAATTATAATAGCTTAAGAAGTTGATGAATCTATCATCGATTTTGGCGTGCTTTATCAATAAAGCTGCTCATCTTATAATATCGCAATAGTTAAAAATATCGGGTCAGTTTGCTGAAAATGTTTGTTCCCTCTAGTGGACTGTTTTTTTTTTCTAATTGTTACCACGCACCTTAATAACGGAAATGTTCTCCATAATAATGGTATGTTTCTTTTTAATTTCGTCTGCGCGGCCGAAATTATTTATCCCAAAAAGAACGTAAACTGCTAACTGATGGTCTGTTCGAGGGCTCTTGTCTGGATGTCCCTGGTTGGCTGCGATTTGTGACGCTTGGAAAAGATGCAGGCTCGATACGAGCCCGGCCATCGATGGAATATCTTGGCCTTTCACGTTGGTGCTCAGATGATGTCCTTACTCCTTTAACGTGTGGTACTTTAGACAGGCTTAGGCCTGGCCTTTCAGGAACTGTTGATTCCTTTTCCGTAAACTTTGAAGTTGATGGTTGATGATGGCCTCTTTGATGAAGTCCTTTGGAGTAATGTCTCATCCAAGGGTCGGATTCGTTGTCATCTGCATCTGAGGGAAGCGAAGCTTCCTTTCGCCATGAGGAACGAGAATCTTTTAAAATAGGCTGTTTACCACCGACGTCAAGTTGAATGGCAACAGGTTCAAACTGTGACACGCTGGATGTTGCTTTTGGTATAACACTTTCCACTTTCGGAACTGGCGCAGTCTTAAGTTCAGTATGCTGCTCTTTAACATCAGGTTTAACTGCGATGATATCAAACTGAGAGACAGGAGGTGTTTCTTTTGGAACATCAACCTCTACTTGTGTAAAGGACGTAGTCAATTTTTTCGCTGGTTCTTTACTGTCGTTAGCTTGAACTTGGACATCAACGGTATCAAATTTGACCGGCTGTATCGTAAAATTAAAAACACTTCTTTCCGGTTTTTCTGGTTTTGAGTCACCCTCATTCTTTACTTCCGTGGTCTTTTCAGGGTCTGGTGTAGAGTCTTTGTCATCATCATCATCATCATCCACAATTGGTCTCTCTATCAAGTATCCCTGCATTAAGTCCCAAAGGCGAGAGTTAGAATTTCGTCTTACGGAACTTGCCTCACGAGGAGATTTTACACTGGCATCTTTATCCTGGTTAGATTCTGCCTTCGGCTGATTTTTATTTTCAGGAAAATCAAGTGAACCTGCCAAGGATGTTATGTCTGGTTTATCCTTTTTCACTGAGTGCTTCACGATCCATTCTTCTTCAGCTCTCGGCAAATGGTAGTCATCAGTGGTGGAAACACCCCATCCCTCTGGATAGTCGAGCTGGACATCGTTACTAGGCTCACTTAACTGAACGTCTGCATTGCTGGTTAATATCTGGGTATCTTCCTCCATGTCATTATGTTCAGAGGAAATCCTTTTAACTGACCGTAACACAACAACAGGTGAGTGTTCTTGAATTTCCAGCTCATAGTTATCTGTGGTTGGTCTTTCCGGAATATTTACCTCGTACACGGTCTCAAAGGTATGTGCTTGTATGTTCATTGTCGGAGATGCGCGGTCTTTTTCGTCGGTTGGCACCCGATTTTCAGCTTTCTCTTCGTCCTTCGAATGACCGTCTTCTGGTTGCAACACAATTGACAAGTCTGGAACTTCATACTCTACTGAGCACGAACGAACAACAGGTGCAATTCCTTCTTCTTGGACTTGGTTATCATTGTCCTCCATACCCATTCTAATATTGTGAGAGTACTGGAGATGGTAGGCTAAGGTCACTGGAGGCTCGTTAAGCTGGACTTTAGAATGTTCCGTGGCGCCTTCCTCGTCATTCTCCGGTACAGGTCTTTTAAAGGAACGAGTTACGATGACTAAAGGGTCTTCAGTTACTGCTGGGACGTCCACCTGATTGATAGAGAAGTGATCAGGGGTTGACACATGGTGCACTGTTTCATGCCTTTGCACGCTTACCCCTAGGTTGGGTGAGAGACGACCACTCTCTTCAGAGGAAGTTGAAGTTGTTGAACTCTTGCGCTCATTTGCTTTGAATGAATGATCGTCTTCTGGTTGCAACACAATTGACAAGTCTGGAACTTCATACTCTACTGATCGCGAACGAACAACAGGTGCAATTCCTTCTTCTTGGACTTGGTTATCATTGTCCTCCATACCCATTCTAATATTGTGAGTGTACTGGAGATGGTAGGCTAAGGTCACTGGAGGCTCGTTAAGCTGGACTTTAGAATGTTCCGTGGCGCCTTCCTCGTCACTCTCCGGTACAAGTCTTTTAAAGGAGCGAGTTACGATGACTAAAGGGTCTTCAGTTACTGCTGGGACGTCCACCTGATTGATAGAGAAGTGATCAGGGGTTGACACATGGTGCACTGTTTCTTGCCTTTGCACGCTTACCCCTAGGTTGGGTGAGAGACGACCACTCTCTTCAGAGGAAGTTGAAGTTGTTGAACTCTTGCGCTCATTTGCTGATGGATCTTTAAGTTCAATAGAAGGCGATTCCATCTTCAGGTCGACTTCCTGGACGTCGGAAGCACCCTTATCCGAGGATAACGAACTTGTTGAGCTTTTCCGTTCCTTTGATTCAATAAAGGAGAATTTGGTATCTTCAGGTTTAACAGAGTGAAATTCCACTTTTGGAGCATCTTCCTGGACCTCTGCAGCACTTAATTCTGGTTTATCAAATTCATCATGAGGTTCAATGATATATTTTTGCTGATTAGTAAAATACTCTACTTTGTATAGCATCGATGGTTGAGGATCTTTAGGAGACGTTGTGTGCTTTGGTATACTCTCATCAGACGAGGAGCTTGTGGAGCTTTTTCTTTCTTCATGTTTAGATTTGTCATCTCGGATGTGAGAGACCACAGTAGGTACACTTGACTCTGGTTTCTTAGGTCCTCCTGCGTTTGCACTCACAAGATATTGTTCGGGTAATGTCGTGTATTCCACGTTGTACTTTACTGGTGCACTGGGGTATTCACTTGAAATTGGAAAATTGGTCTTCTTAGAATGGTCCTCGTCTGACGACGATGTTGAGCTGGTGGACGTTTTGTGCTGCTTGGAGTCTTTTTGCTTGACAGACCTCTTTTTACCAGTTTTATTATCCGATGAGGAAGAGCTGCCAGAACTTTTGCGTTTCTTTGGCTTTATTTGGGTTGTTATTCCCATGGCAAGATCACCTTTTGATGGTTTCTTTTTTCCTTCCTTCTCGTCTTCGGAAGCGGAAGAACTTGTTGAAGATTTCCTTTCTTTTTCTTTTTGCTTAGGAGTTTCATCCTCTTTTGAAGATGCAGAACTGGTTGAACTTTTTCTGAACGCCTTAAACAACCGCGATTTCTTTTTACGCTTTTCGGTTTTTTCTTTGTTATCTTCACTTTCAGAGGAGGAAGATGAGGACGAGCTAGACGAACCTTTTTGTTTTGTGTCTGAACCCTCTTCACCTGGGAAAACAACTTCAATTTTCTGCCTGACTTCTCTGTCTAGTGTCAATGTTCTTTTCCTTGGAGCGGGAGGCTCATCTTCTTCAAGTGACGCTGAGCAGATGGTCACGTTTTCTTCCACCTTAACTAAAGACATTCTGCCTGGTTTCCGCTCTATCCCATCCTTTCCAACATCAATACTTCCTTCTGAGTTTTCAAATTCAAAACCTGGTTTTGGATAGTCCGTCTTCTTTGGGGATAACAACCTTAATTCCATGTCAGGGCGAATCTCATCATAACGCTGAAGATTTCGAGGTTCCTCGTAATCCATCGAAGGAAACTTCGTTGGAGTACTTTGAAGCTCTAAATTGGAATCGTTTACTACTGCTAGCGGTTCGGTCTCTAACTCGAGTTTTGCAAGGTTGCTGCCTTTTTGTTTGGGTGTTGATGTATTTACACTCCAGTCAAAATTGGTGTCATAGTCTTTTCCTCCGGGTTGAAAAGACCATCCTCCATTTGGCTCTGGTGAGTCGAGTGTTTTTGGTGCTAGGATGTCTTGGGTCGGTTGCCAGACATTAATATCTAGCTGTCTATCGTTTAAACCAATTGCTGGACTCTCAGCAAGGGTATCGAGTTCAGGCAAACTGCCTTCTGAGCTGACATCACCTGTCTCAATCTTCGGCTTCGGTATATCCATGTCATATTCGTTAATGTCAGGTCGATTTATATCAATGTCTAAGTATTCACCTGTTCTCATGTTCTTGTCCAGTCCTCCAACTCCTCGTCCGATTCCAGGTAAACTTGGATCAAAGTTAAAATCATTAGTAGGAATTTCTGGCTCTGAATTATCCATGTCAAATTCTTCTCCGTCAAATTGCGGTTTTGGGGCTGAAATTTCTAGATCAGGTAGTTCAGCTTTCGTATCAAGGTCTGGCTTACTTATGCCAAAACGGAGATCGCTCTTAGGAACGTCTGTGTTATTATCAAGGGCGTTTGTATCCAATTCCGATGAAGGTTTACTACCGGAAATTCTTAGACCTGGTACTTCGGCATCAGCATCTAAATCCCCACCAGAAATTGACGGCTTGTTGATAGCAACCCTGGGCGCGTCAGGAAGATTTGACCCAGAAATGCCCCAATCAGCGCTGCCTTGCGAACTGTTAATATCTAGGCCCGGACTTCTAAGTTCGATGTCTTTATCTTGTACACCAGTAAAGGTTCCTGATAATTCTGGCTTTTCATGAGTAACGTTTGGTAGGGAAATGTCTATTTCCCCTTTATTACCAGCCTTTACGTCCAGGTCTGGTGTTTGGAAACTAGAATTAGGTTTGTTGGACCTTAGGTCGAAATCTGGAGTATTTATCTTCATCGCCAAGTCTTCACTGTCAATATTGGGTCCGTGAAGGTCAAAACTGCCAGCTTTTTTGGCTCCAAATTTTCCATCAAACTCTGGATGGCCAAGCTCAAACTCGCCATCTCGGTTTTTCCCGTTAGGACCTTCTAGATCAATATTAGCATCCATCGCTTTCTTTCCATATGGCGCATCTTTATCAACCCCACCAGTGCAAGACAAACAATTTACACTCTTTCTCTTCTTTCTGGAAGGAAAATCTAAATCAGCAGACGGAGAATTGACATTACCTTCAGGGTCCTCAACTTTTCCAATAGAGGCATCAAGATCTGGACCAGACACCTTTGGTTTTTCAACAGACAGGTCTGCCTTTAATCCACTGACATCTAATTTAGGCCCTGAAAAATCGGTGCTTGGTCTACCTGCACTTACTTTAGGCCCAGAAACGCCTGCTTTTGGATAGCTCGTGTCAAATTCGGGCCTGGACAAGTTTGCTTTGGGTCCTCCTGTATTAAAGTCTCCCTTGGAAATATCTGCACTTGGTCCACTGAGCTCCAAATGAGGTCCAGGAAGTCCTGGTTTTGGTCGGCTAGCATCAACATCGAGCCCAGAGTAATCTCCTTTCGGTCCTCTTACATCGAAGTCTGCCTTGGAAATGTCTGCACTTAGTCCACTGACATCAATCTCAGGCTCTGACACACCTGTTTTGGGTCGGCTAGCGTCAAATTCGGGCCCAGAAAAGTCTCCTTTCGGTCGAGTAATATTGACGTCTCCCTTAAAAATGTCTGCACTTGGTCCACTGAGATCAATTCCAGGACCTGAACCTCCTACTTTTGGTCGGCTTGTGTTCAATTCGGGCCCTGAAAAGTCTGCATGAGGACCTTTTAGATCAACATTAGCATCTACCCGTTTCTTTCCATATGGCAGATCTTTGTCAGCCCCACCAGCGCATGAAAAACAATTTCCACCCATTCTCTTCTTTCTAGAAGGCAAATCCAATTCAGAAGACGGGGCATCCAAGTTAACTGTAGGGTCTTTTATATTTCCAGTTGATACATCAAGACCAGGACCAGAAACTTTAGGCTTTCCTGTTAGTTCCATATTTGGTTCTTTAACGGAAGCGCCTGCCTTGGGTCCACGAAAGTCAATGTTAGGCCCAGAAAATTCTGTTTCTGGTCGAAGAGAATCGATTTCGGACCTGGAAAACTCTCCTTTAGGTCCTTTTATGTTGATTTCTCCGTTGGAAACGCCCGAATTTGGGCCACTGAGATCAATTTCAGGCCCATTAACTCCTATTTCTGGTCGACAAGCGTCAAACTCTGGCCCAGAAAAGTCTCCTTTTGGTCCCATAACATTGAAGTCTTTCTTTGAAACGTCTGCACTTGGTCCACTAAGATCAATTTCAGGTCTAGAAACTTCTGCTTTGAATCGGCTAGCTTCAAATTCGGGCCCAGAAAAGTCTCCTTTCGGCCTTTTAATATGGAAGTCTCTGTCAGGAATGTCTGCACTTGGTCCACTTGGATCAATTTCTGGTCCAGAAAATCCTGCTTTGGGTCTGTTAGCGTCAAATTCGGGTCCAGAAAAGTCTCCTTTCGGCCCTTTAATATTGAAGTCACCCTTAGGAAGGTCTGCATTTGGTCCACTATAATCAATGCCAGGACCCGAAACGCCTACTGTTGGTCGGCTAGTGTCCAATTTCGGCCCAGCAACGCCTGCATCAGAACCTTTAAGATCAACATTAGCATCTACTGCTTTCTTCCCATATGGCACATCTTTGTCGGCCCCACCAGCGCATGAAAAACAATTTCCACCCATTCTCTTCTTTCTGGAAGGCAAATCTATTTCAGCAGACGGGGCATCCAAATGAACTTTAGCGTCCTTTATATTTCCAGTTGATAAATCAGGACCCGGACCAGAAACACTGGAAGCGCCAGCTTTGGGTCCACGTAAGTCAATGTTAGGTCCAGAAAATTCCGTTTCTGGTCGGAAAGAATCTCCTTTAGGACCTCCCATGTTGAATTCTCCGTTAGAAACGTCCGAATTGGGACCATCGAGATCAATTTCAGGCCCATTAACCCCTATTTCTGGTCGGCGAGCGTCAAATTCTGGCCCAGGAAAGACTCCTTTTGGTCCCCTAACATTGAAGTCTCCCTTTGAAACGTCTGCACTTGGTCCTCTAAGATCCATTTCAGGCCTTGACACTCCTCCTTTTGGTCGGTTAACGTCAAATTTGGGTCCAGAAAAGTCTCCTTTCAGCCCTTTAATATTGATGTCTCCCTTAGGAAGGTCTGGACTTGGTCCGCTAAGATCTATTTCAGGCCCCGACACTCCTGCCTTGGGTCGGCTAGCGTCAAATTTAGGCCCAGAAAAATCTCCTTTCGGTCCTTTAATAGTGAAGTCTCTGTCAGGAACGTCTGCACTTGGTCCACTTAGATCAATTTCAGGGCCAGAAATACCTGCGCTCATATTTCCAGAGGGCACGTCTGCTGACTTGACATGACGATATGCTGTATCGACCGCCATCTTCGGTATTTCTGTGGAAATACCTTTGTTTGGTCCATGAACATTGAAGTCTGGGCCAGTTACTTGGTATCCCAAGTCCTTTTTCTCTCCCCTCCCACTGAAACCAGGACCAGAGCCACTGATATCCAGCTCGTCAGGTTTCTCCATTTTTAAAGATCCGTCAACTTCAGGTGGATTCCAACTGAAATCTGTCTTTCCTCTGTTTGTTCTGTATGGTTCATCTTTATCCCCACTTCCTACACAGGAGAAACAGCTACCACTCTTCTTCTTGGCGGAGGGAAAATCTACTTCCGGAGAATGTACGTCACCACTTGCTGAGGGGCCTTTTACTCTACCAGATGACAGTTTAGCGTTGGGACCTGATATTTCTGTATTTAATCTCGCCTCAGGTGAATCGACATCACCGGTGTCTAACTTGGCTCCTGGTCGTTTCTTAGAAATGTTAACACCTGGTCCACTGGCATCAGTTGAAGGCCCAGAAAGCCTTTTCATTTCTATGGAGCCATCAACGTCTTGTCCTTCAAACTCGTATCCATAGTTTTTCCTAGCTTTCCTATAGGGCTCATCTTTTTTACCACTTGCTGTGCACGTAAGGCAGTTTCCTATTTTTTTCTTTCCAGAAGGCAAATCGATCTCGGCGGAAGAGGGACCAAGCCCGGGTCCTTTTGGAGCAACCCCTTCAGTAGGTAAGGAGGCATCTCCATTATATCTTCCATGGTCCACACCTATATCAACATCTGGTGCTGATCCACGAAGCCCATATTCCTTTTGCGTATCTCCTACATCCGGGTCTCTTATTTCAGGACCCGATCCACTCATGTCAAAGTTCCTTCCTGCCTTCATCTCCATATGGCCATCCGGTCCATCAAAGTCTCTGGATGGAAGTTTTAAGTCAGGTTTGCCGGTAGACAATTTAACGTCTTGTGCTTTTCGGTCTGGTGTGTTTAGACCTATGCCAACGTTCGATTTTCCTTTAATGTATGGCTCGTCTCTGTCTCCACTGGATGCGCATGAGAAGCACTTGGCACTCTTCCTTTTAGATGACGGTAGATCCAGGTCATACGAGGGTTTACCAAGATCGACGTCTGTAAACGTATCTGGACCAGAAACCTGTGTTTTTAGCGTTCCTTCAGGCTTATTCAGATGAGGTTTACCCATGTTTACATCTAGCAGTGCTTCTCCGTCAGGGGCGCGACCTTGGACCCCTTCAACATCAAGTGTCGGCACACCTGCCTCTAATTCCGGTGACATATCAACTTTACATGATTCTTCTATGATTCCATCAGGTATATCAACTGATCTACCTGTGAAATAAACAGTTGAGTAGTGTAAGGCTGAAACCTACGGACATTCTAGAGTAAAGGATTTGGAAAGAGAAACGTAATATAATTGAATTAACCGCATAAAGAGGCAAATTCACTGATACTGTTAGCAGTTTCCTTAAAGTTGATTGGAATATAAAATTTCGGTTCAACTCAAAATTGCCTCCAAAGAGAGGCTGAGTACAGTCAAGCTTCTTCACATCCACCCACCCAGATACTAGTTGTAAATGGAACTTTTCCCCCAACAACATCAAAGATAACTATCTATTTAAAGTTAGGAGGACGACATCGGCTTGATTAGAGAATACAACACTTTATAGGTCCTGCAGTTGGAGAACGCTTGTTTCTCTCCTAGTTTCCTCTGGCTACAAGAGCAGAATTTCTACAATACTTCCAGTGCCGTAGCCAGACCAAACGGCCAACCGAGGCAGGCGGGAGTTGCTAGGGGGGTTCGGGGGCATGCCCCCCCCCCCGAGAAATTTTGAACTTTAGTCTCTCGGAAATGCGATTTGCAGCGTTTTCTGGGCCTTTCGGTAACTTTTTTTCGAGTTAATTTAAGTGGAATTTAAAAAGCAATAATCAGAAACACGCTACATAATCTGGGTGACCGTTAACCTCGCCAATGGTTTTGATCAGTATTTGTTCAAAAAAAATTTGAGTTAACGTACGTAGCCCCTTGAGATCGATGATATGGTAATTTTTTCATAGTATATTGACTGAATTGCTGAATTCTTTGTAATATCATGATGCGTTAAAAATATCCGATGATCGCTTATGTAAAATAAAAATGATCGGCGAAATTCGTCAAAATTTTACCGAGGCGAGTGCCTCGGTTGGCCTCATACTAGCTACGGCGCTGACTTCTGAACAATGCTCTTTTTCTCTAAGTAACATGATTATGTAAACATTGATGAATGAATAAACCGTGAATGAAACTTTGTTAACGTGTATTTTAGATGTGGCTGAGGGGCCCCGCCCCTTACTAATTGAAGACACTCAAAACATAAAATTTGAAATGTAGGCTAAGAAAAGTAGTAACTAATTAGTAATATAACGCTATAAAAATTTTGAATTAAAACTGTATGATACATTAGTAACTTAAAGCTATGTTGCGCATACTTTACAATTTTTACAAAGACTGGTGTCAAGAATGCTGGACAGATCAGCTTTGCAAAAGCAGGATCTACACAACCTTAGACATCACATATTTTTGACATCAAAAAATTGAAATGTTAATATAATCACCATTCTTGTTATTTTATTTACATGCTTCAGAAGGACACAAGAACGACATCCAGTGGTGGGTTAAGACTGCCAATTTATCTTTCATAAAAAATTTAAAAAGCTACCTTCGTATATCATAAAAGCTAATAAAGATTATCCGTTGCACACGACTGATACTACTAATGTTGGGGCTTTATAGCATACACATTGCCAAACAGGTTGAACTATGTCGATTCAGGATATCGACCTCGCTCTATACTCCGCTAAGCATCGTTCCATAATCTAAGACCGATGTTGAAATTGCTGAATAGTAGTTTAAGAAAAATCCGCACATCATGTTTGCAGACGTTCTCCTTAAGATTTCGACTGCTCGTTTTCATTGACTTGTTTTTGAACATATCAGGTGACAGGTTAAAGCAAAACTGAAACCAGGCCTAGGTAAATCTCAATCTGTTATAGCGACTATGCGCTAGGTAGCTTCCGTGGAACTAAATTCTTCCGGCAGAGTCGGCGTCCAAATTCTTTAAGCTGTCTTGGTATATTTCTCTTGTAAGAATTCTGGAAAATGCGCTTTTCCCAAAATGCCCATGTTGGTTAAAGCGGCGACCAAAAAATTTAAGGATAAAACCACAGTTTGGATTCTGAAAATTTTATAATGAATGTACTTTTTTGCGCCGATTTCCTTTGCTTTTCACAAATCCTTTAGTTGAATGTACTTCAGGGAAAACCTAGACGTTCCTTTGTGCATGACAGCCACTGCACAACGTTCCTGTCATTATCGATCTATCAACACTTGGAACTTGCTAAGCGCAAGCACAAGAAATAGTAGAACGCGTGGCGCAAAATTAGAGCCGCAATGTCACACCGAGAACTAGGTGACTGATTGCATGACTAAAACAGTATACGTCATTAGTGTATTTTTAAGTCAATAATAGGTATATGTGTATAGTGTAATAACGATATATTATCGTAGCTACTTTTTTATTTCGTTTTAGTTTTTTTCCATTTGTTATTAATAATTAGATTTGTAAATTAGTCTTGTTTTTCTTCTTTCCTTTTCCAAATTTGTAAATTAAATCGGAAGAGCCATATAGTGGAGATTTAATAAAGATACTCTACTGTACCCTACTACTGTACTTAACCTATGTTTAATTGGTGGTGAGGCTTGTGTTTCAAACTGGGTGATGAAAACTGGTGGCACTCTTAACTAGAAGAGCTCCTTTACGGAGAAGCTGCGCAGGGGAGGTGGGGGGGGGGGGGGGGGGGGGGGGGTTAACCGGGGGCGGCGAAAAAGAAAAAAAGGGGGGGTTTTTAACCCGTGTGAGGACGAAATTTAAAAATATAAAACTACAAAGGGGAAAAAAAGGTATCTACACAAAAACTAAATTAAAAGGATTATGTTCACCTCCTCTTATAATGTGATGGATATTAAAATAACTCCACCCTTTCCTACCTCACCTATATATTATTTGTTTTTTTGTGTGGGGGGGGTTTTTTTTTTCAAATGGGGGTAGAAAAATGTGGGGCCCTTTTAAAAAAAAGGGCGTTCGTGGGGGGGGGGGGGGGGGGGGGGGGGGGGGGGGGGGGGGGGGGGTGGGACGTATACCTGAGCAGCTATAAAGCACAAAACAGTTGCGTTTTAACCGCTTGTACGAGACAATTTTAAAAATTCAATCCTGAAATTGAGGAAAAAGGCTTTCTCAACAAACTCTAATTTGAACGGTTTTTAAATTTTCTGGGTCAGATTTTAACAGGAAATTTTGGAGAGAAAAAACATGCTAGGTAAAAACCAAGCAAGCATTTTCGTACTGGTTTTATTAGGTTATAGTCTTTATAGTAAAAAGGCGAAATCACACTTTAAATTAACCTATATTAATGCACATTTTGTACAAATATCATTTGACCACCCTTTCTTTAACTTGGCAAAGAAGTAATATGTAACATCACCATCTAACTGTCGCATAAAAACAAAGCTTATAAGAGCGTCAATTTTACAGTGAAAGGTATAGTCTTAAAGACTAATTTAAATGAGGTCGCTGATTTGTCACATCGTTCTATATTGTACTCCACATTAATGATACAAAACAGTGTAGCAATCATTGGAAGGAATTTTAGACCAACTTCGATATATCAAAATTCATGCTTGGCTGCGAGGCTTCAGGGAATAAAACAAATGAAATCGTCTTGACGCTCGGCAATGAATAATAGATTACTTTTGTTTTATTTTCCCAAGCCTCGGAGCCAAGTTTGAATTTTAATATATTGAAATTGGTCTAGTCAACTGTTCACTTGATTATTAAAAAGTACCTCTTTTTACCTACCCTTTATCTTGTAAAGTTCCTTTTTCTTCAGTGTTAGATGTAGTATTTTCAAGCTATCATCTCGTAAAAGTGACATGGCTTGATCATGAGGCATTCCCTCAATGGATGTTTCATTAATTGCAATGATCTTGTCACCTAGAACCAATATAGCTACATTAATTTTTCGACGTGAAACCGCACAGACATCGTTTTTGCTTTGAACAAACGATCCGCTACTTGCGGAGCCTGCGATCATGTCCTCTAGAGTATGATACAATTCTTTCAGAAATTACATGCAAAAAAGCCAGAATATGGAATTCTTTCTGATTGGATAGGAAACAATAAGGATGATTTGCGCTGTTCCGATTGGCCAAAATCCGCCATCTGTTAGTTGTTGTTTATTTCAGTCTGCATTTTTTCTTGCGCAAGGAGTAGTAAATAAACACGCGAGTTCGTTATGAATATTCTGCTGGCTCAGTTTTCGTAAATTTGAAGCAAGTTCCAAATAGAAATTTGATCCATTGAAATACTTTCCATCTCATCGTATACTAAAAAGTTCCAGTCCAAAATTTACTGATCGTTTAAATGCAATTTGATACCGGGTACAAGTAACAGAAGCGACAAACGGATTCACTTTCAAATTAATAATCAATTGATGAATGGACTCTTGACCTAGTTTGACTGTAATTCCTCCTTCAGGAACCTGCGAATTATTCTGAGCGATCCTCACTTTCACAACACTTTTTAGTCCGTGAAACCAGCATAATTTTTTTTTCAATGCTTTCGGTACATGACGAAGTCAACGAACTTTTACCAGTAAATTCTTTATTATTTGTAGCTGTTAAAAAAAGGTACAGCAGCTCCAGCTAGCAGTATTTCATCACCGAAAAAAACATTAAAAAAGATTTTTTAGGAAGCTCCATCTGAATATGGACGTACTTAAAAAATTTCTTTTCCCTAAAATTAATTTCAAAAGGGACATTATTCGCGCCAAAATTTGATTCCCGTCTGGTAAACGTTGATTGGCTAAGAACATGACAGGTCAAGCAGACGTTAGATTATGTAAATTAAATTAGGGGGCGGTTGACGGCTTGTTAAATGAATGTATCAGGCGTTTTTTTCCCTCTCGAGTCAAAGAAGCAAAAAAAGAAAATAAATAACGCCTGGTTACAACTTGTGAAGTCCAAGCGTTTTCTAAACATGATTCGCCCAACTGTAAACGTTTTGAACGAGACAGTACTGAACGCCTACCCTTTGTGGGCGTGTCTAGCCATTCTTGGCCAAAGAGTTCTAATGCGTACAGCTGTAGATCATACTGGGACAAGGGAAAAGACACCAATTGAATCATGACAAGTAAATAACATGCACTACAAATCACATAGACATTGACAACATAACATAGACTGTATGGGAAGACGGACTCTTGCACACTGCACTCGAGTAATTTGTTTTCGATATTGGCTAAAACGTGTCTCCCAACCAAGGTCATTGTTGGAAGACTCAGGAGATGAATTGTACACCAGCGAACCACGGAGGGAACCTTAAAAATTGAAATGCGCGAAACTTAGTTCCCTATTGTGATCCAAAAAGCACTGCATAATCAACTCGACATTATATTCATCACCTGAAGAGAAGACCAGCAGTATGCAGTCCAAAAGTGGTAGTCATCACCTCAACTGACTAGGTCGTGAAAGAAGATATGAATTAATTATCTACCACAGGGCGTGCAGCGACTTTTTTTCTAGACAAAGGTTTTATTAGTTTAAATCTCTAACCTTTATCAACGAGTCCTGTCTTTGCCGCGATGCCTCCAGGTGTAACTTCTCTAACAAACAAGGCAGGGGGAGGCAAAGTCTTGTCTCTTGCTATCAGTAATCCGAAACCACCATTTCCTGGACGTTCAAGAAATACATCAACAGTTTTCTGTGGCTGAAAAGGAAAGTCACTCGTTTTTAAGAAAATTCTACCTCTTTAGATAGGCAAATGGGGAAAAGACTTTTTAGCCTCATGTAACAGTTTGCAGAAACGATGTTAGTATATTCGAAATGAGACTTTCTTTTTCCACTTTGCACTGTTGGCTCAATTCTTTGTCATGGCAGCCTTCAATAGGTCTTAACTTAAAAACTGTAGGATTCCATGTTTTAGTTCTAACCTGACTTAGGAAAACGGATATGATTTCAAGTAGATAGGACTACAGGGCGTAGTCGTAGAATGTTTCAAATTATTTCAGTAATACTAGAAATCCGATAAAGAGGGGGATCTGATGAAACTGAGATTTTAAACTGAATCTTACAAGGATACGGTGATAACAGACAGAACGGGATGCAATATGGTCGCAGTGATGACAGTTATTCTCGCTGTTATTGCCAAAGGAAATGTTCACTATCATGTTCACTGTGTTTACTATCGCGCGCTAAATGATCCGGCTAAAGAATAGACAAAGCTACCAGTTATTTCAACTTTTGTAGCGGTTCAAAACTCAAGCAATTAAACATTGTAAAAACAATTGAAAAATGGGCTGATCAATTTCTTACCAAATCAACGCTTGGAATCGACTTAGGTTTCGATGGACCCTTGATGATTACATTTGCATCGGTACCTGGAAGACCACTACCCGAAGGACTTCCGTTCCCCGTGGGAAGCTTCAATTCCCGGCGATTTCCATCTGGAAAGTCAACATTACGTTCGTGATCCCAGTCCATATCCAGCTTTGCATCCCCTGAACCGGAGGGTAGTTTAATGTCAGATGCTCCATCCATGTCAATCTTTGCATCCCCCCCACTGAAGGGTAGTTTTATGCCAGATCCTCCATCCATGTCAATCTTTACACCCCCTGAACCAGAGGGTAGTTTAATGTCAGATCCTCCATCCATGTCAATCTTTGCATCCCCTGAACCGGAGGGTAGTTTAATGCCAGATCCTCCATCCATGTCGATCTTGATTTCATCGTTATGTGCAGGAGGCTTGAACGATGGATCTCCATCCAGATCAATTTTAACTTCATCATGATGACCTTGTGGCATGTCAATAAGAACTTCACGACTCCCACCAGCAAAGGCTGGGTTAACCACACCTGATGTGTTGTAGGCTGGAACACAACATTTTACACTTCATTAAAGTGGTTCATATACGATAAACTGACAGACTAATGCAAAAAACACGTTGAAAGTCGTCAAATTCAAATTCTTTAATAACTTTTTTCCTGCTTTCTCATTTCTATTCCTAAAACGTATAAAGTGGGTGTTACATGGCCGCGCAGCGGCGCTCACTTTTGAGATATTTTTCAACGCTTGAAGAGAAATTTCGTATTTTCAAATGTGAAGATATCATGTTTTCGCGCAAAAGCTCACTTGGTATTTCACTGCTGTTTTATATAATAAAATTGTATTTTTTTAACCATACCGAACGGCTCGGTTATATCGTGTTGTAAGTTATATGATGAGGGTCTCACTGCTATCAACAACACACAGGCACAAATGAAAACTGATTAGTCGAAAGTGCTTTTTGTTTGTTAGATATACACCTGCAAAATTCATAGTGACATACGAGCAGGAAAAACGATTAAATCTGAAGGATTTGAAGGATTCTGAAGGAAGGTGAACTTTTTCGCTTCTTTTGCTTGTTTTTCTTTTTCTCGTATTTTTTCTTTTTTGCACTTGCACTTTCAGCCTCATCTATTTTTATCCTATTTAATGATTATTTTCTATGTTATAAGAAATTGTGTATGTTTAGTTAAATTGTCTTGCCGATGCCAGTTTTTTATTTAATAATTGAGTCATATATTTTTAAACAGGGTCCTTTTCATAAGCCTTATTGGCTTCCATTGGCTCCCTTGCCTCATCTTTCTGAATTTTATGTATATATTTAATTTAAATGTGGCAAAACGATAATGAACAATAAAAGCCAGTCTTGCTTACGATTGACTGCCTTCAAATCTGCATTACGCATACACCAAACATAATGCTTTTGTTTGTTCGTCACGAAGACTCAAGAGCACTGGAAGCTAGTTCCGTGGTATGCGCAACAAGAAGAAGTTTGAATTAACCGTCATTAAATCCAGCATACACATCATTGCTATAAAAAGCTAACATATGTGCGAGTTAAAAAGACCAACTGTGAACACAATAAATTAAGAATTGACCCAACAGGTGGTATAAATTTAGCGTTCTTGGATGCTCGAACCAAAATTTTCAGAGATTTTAAAATTCGCTTGCTTGTCAGCAACTTACGTCAAGGGACCTAAGTACAGTTTAGGTGCTAATTACAATGCAAACTGCACATGACTTCCATTACAACCATCTTTGCTTGACTGACTTCTCTCTGCTAAAATAATGAACGAAAATATGTTTTCGTCCGAGAAAGCCATTTCCACTGGTCACAAAAAGGAGTTTATAGACATATTCCTAGCAGCACTGTATTTATAAATTCTTTAAGGGTTATAATTTTGACCTCCTGTTCCAATAGACAGCAAGCACAAAGAATCTTTCCCATTTATTGAAGATAGCTGCGTCAATATTTTCTCATATCCGGCTTTGCATAACTCAAACAGCAGGAAGGAAATGAAATAAAAGTTTGTGGCCTATTAGACAGAGTGGAATGACAAACTTACAACGAATCACAAGATACAGAAAAAAGTGGTAAAAAAGAATGTAAAACAAACACTGAAAATGACCATGTTTGTGTAAGTGATATCATTCAATCGAAAGCAAACACAATCATCGGGTAAAGCCTGGTTTCTGTATGATCCCTACGATCGCTGTGATATAGCGATGGAAGCCGCTTTCCAGCGATCGCTGCGATCGCTGCGACAACGATCGCTGAGATAGAAAAAGTTTCTCAAGACTACCCAACCTAAGAAGTTACGGGACGCGTATTTATTTATAATGGTAATTCAACTGAGTGGAGTGCAATTTGGCATAAAATCATAAGCGTGTTTGTGCTGTTTAGGTGTGCCTTTTTCATTGCCTGGGAAAAAGATGCGATTTAGAGCCAAAAATGGTGCTATTTGGGAATAAATCACACAGCTGAGAGCCAATCAGATTGCAGGGATCGCTAGTGATTTCAAAGTGGATATAATAAAATAGATTAGCCAGCGATTTTGTAGCTGCAGAATATATCTATCGTGAATCACTTTTTGGTGGTAGGTTAGTAAGCGAGTTTCTCAGTCTAAAGATCGAAAGGCATGTTTTTTTACTTGTAAATCATTTTTTCCCACTCTTTTTGCTTAAGTTCATTTACAGAGGAAACATTTACTCCCTGCTTTTTTTACCTGAATTAGCACCAGAAAACATCAATTTTCCTTAAATATTGTTATAAACATTTGAAAATTAGGAAACAAACACAACAATACCAGAATATCTTGATTCAAGGAACTAAAAAAATATCAAAGTTTGCTTTAACTTAATTTAAAAACATGCAGAAGCAGAACCAAGGTAAGGTTCTAGCAATTGAATAAGTGAACAGTTAGAGAACTGAATTATTAAATCTTTATAAATTGTCTTTATTGTCTAAACACAACCCCGTGAAAACTGTAATAAATCATAGTGGTTTATGAATACCAGATTTTAATGACTTTACAGCTTTTTTGGTTACTTTGGATGATTCAATGATACATCTAGTTTAGAGAATTTCATTACTTTAAAATTTTTTTCTTTCAACTTTTTTTGCGCCTTCAGAAAAACGTCACTTTCATGCTGTGTTCACCACAAATATATTTTTAAATCACTCAGTTTGGAATGCCAACATCCAGTTTGAGGGAAGCTTTTGATTCCGAAACCTTCTCGAAGTTTTTTTGGGGTTGAAAGAAAATTCTCGTTCATGTATCCTGAATAACTCTTTCCTCATCGGTAAATTTACCTTTATAGTTCTCTCCCCCTAATCGGCAAGGAGTCGTGGTTTTTACTCAATAGTACAAGAGTTGGTAACTTCATTTCATAATGAACTTGAAACAAGAGAACACTGTATTCTTTTCTTTGAATATTCTGTGCTTGAATGGTTGTAAAAAATCAATGGTATTTATGCAAATTCCCTGCGTCATCTTGAGTTCCTTAGCTGGTTTGCGGCGTTTTGTTGAGATAAATGACAGAATGATTTTCGTGGAACGGAATTATTTTATGTACAACACGATCAGCATACAAGACGCTGAAACTGGTAAAAAGATTTTGACTGAAGTAAAAAGGAAAAAGAAAAAGAAATCAATACGAGCTTTGATACGGCTGACTGCGGCGAATCAAAAATATCAGTTGGAGGTAAGTTATATTCCCGAGCGAATTTGTTCATATGAGAGCTTGTTAACTGTTAGCGTAGTAAAGTCTCTCCGGCATGAACTTAACTAGAGATAAGCGAGAATATCCTTAGAAAAGTGGCTGTTACTTGCGCTATAACAACAAATGGCTTTAAAGTTTATTGTTTAGTTTCATTAATGAATGTGGAAATTGGCCAATATAACGATTACCCAAATTCTTTAAAGCTTATTAATGCTGCAAAGCAAATAACCTTCATGTTCTTTTTAAACCTGCATCGCGTAGTTTTTATTTTTTAAGTTTTACTCATTTCTAAAACTAATGTTTTTGAAACAAGCAGAGCAAAAATTATTTTTAAAACGGGAGTTTAAAGGCTGTACCACAGGAATGTGTAAGTGCGTATGTCTATAAATTGCTTGCATTTGGCATTTTTGACTTACCAACTGAAGGTGCTTTTTCACTGTAGCGATGTGAAAACGTAACAGGTGTCCCATTGCCATTTAAGCCGATGTTACCACCTTTCGTCTTTGTGCCGAATGAAAATTCATGATCGCTTGCGGAATCAGCAGAAGATGTGGAAAGAGAAGCTAAGAAAAAAAAGAAATTAAGCATAACATAGGTTAGTGCCCCTTAACGAGTAACGGGTCCAAGTGATCTTCGCACTGAAATCTCTTGGAAATTTTGGATTGTTACAAAAAAATGTGAAGTTTCGTACTTGAGTCTCGCTGTCGGCAGCAGTACCAAACAAGCGCCACAATGGCAGCAATAAGAAGCAATCCTCCAATAGTTCCAAACACAGAAGCCACGATTGCAGTAGTGCATTCGCTAGCCGCCATCACAAACCTAATGTGCTGGCATATCAGAAAGAGACCCAGTAGTACGAGGTTGTAAAAAGCCATGTTGTAATGTTTACAGGCCTTACTTAACCACCCGCCATGGATGCTACAAATTCGATCACACGTTCTTAATACTAACTTGCATCTTACGAACGCCGACGAATTATCCAGAGTCCCAGGAGAAAAATACTTATTTATGACTAAAATAAACTATTGTAATCACCTCAATTGGAAATGTCAATTACGGGGCTTTCACTGGACTCTCATTGGCTAGATGCTGTCGGTGCTTCGCTGACTTTTGTATTACAATAGAGTCAATTGTTAAATATTTGGAATATTCTTCGATCTTAAACGCTTACGAGTTCAGGATCTATAGCGTGACAAGCTTGCTTAATGCGATATGGTTCTCTACATTCGAGACGTCTGGGCAAATAATACTAGTTAACATATCCCAATATGCTCTAAAGGGATTATTTAGTGAAACGTATTTGTTTCTTGGAGCACAAAAATAATGAAGAATTAGTTGTTTATAATCACCTGCTGGGCTTTATTGCCTTGCAACACAATAAAAGCTTAACATAGTGACAAAATGCATTTAAACTGATTCTTTTTCGAACTCGAAAAGCAGCACATATTTGCGGAAGGATCTTATATAACTGCCTTTAAAAGTCTCATACAGGGAACGACGCTCTCAGCTGACATTTAAGTTGGAAATAGTTTTAAAATTAATGTTGATCTACAGTGAAAATCAAAACAGTCGCTGAAACGCTTTACTGTTGAAAACGTCTTTTAAAGATCTGTTGCTTGCAGGTTGAACGATTTTCTACCTTGCACTACAAAAACATTTGATTGTAAATGCCAGGTATGACATACTTGGTGCCATTTTATGAATTGGACCAGCATTCGATATGCAAATTCAATAAAAAAAGAATTTGAAAAAGGTGAATAAAGCCGGTTTATAACTTACTCAATTTAAACAGTCTTTTAAAAACTCCTTCGAATTCCCTTTCGATAAATTAGTGGTCTCTATGGATATCAGATTCGTGCATGTGTTTAAGTGTTCATCCATTTGCAGTACTCGCTTGCCTTTTAAGAGCGTCAAAACCCGCAGTTACTCAGTTTATAATTTCGATAACTATATACTGATCGGAAAAGAAGCTTTCATAAAAAAGACATTTAAGTTCCATTAAGTAACCAGAGGATTTTAGGGGATTAAATAATATAATCAGTCAAGACACATCTTACTACTAATAATGCGCAAACAAAAAATTCTTGACAATTTCCTGTTAAGTGTTACCCTTATACACCTATATAAACTTCACGGTCACTGATTTCAATTTGTCAACAATTTGTCACCCATTAACTTTATGTACGTGTTATCGTTTTTTTTACGGCTAGAGGGCCGAAAAAAAAAATCGACTTCATATAACTATTTTACTCTTTGGTTACGTCGCTCTGATACCACGTTACGCTCGCTAGCCTTGAGGAACAGTAAATCAAATATATTGTTTGCATTCTATTTTCAGACTCAATTTCTAAAGAAATATTAGCAAAGGACAGCTTTGATCGATATTTTCATGAATTAAAGAGTCAGCTTTACTCGGTGTGTGGTTCTATTTAAATGACTGGGGAAATTAACGCCCAAACTGTTGGGTTTTATTGTTAGTTCCGCTTTTAAAGCAAAAGGACTTGTTCCATAACTTCTCGCTGTCGAGATCATCATTAAACATGTGTTAATATTGCCCTCACAGTAATGATAATACGGGCGTACTTTTATCGTTGTTTAAGCTAAAAAGCTGTATTTATTTTACTTCAATAGAACTAGGAACTAAAAAGGCTAAAGATCTTTAAATTTCTGCTTACGTGTTATGACAGGTTAGTCTTTTATGCAAACAGAAAGATCCAGAATGTTAAAAGTAATTAAACAAATTAAAGGCAAGCAAACCGCCTCGTTTTAAGTACAGGACGGAGAAAACCGCAAACATTTATCGCCATTGTCTCTTGCTACACATTTACCACAAATAGGCCAACTACAGCTTGCAAAATTCCACAGAGCTGAAAATTTAAAACTGAGGTCAGGTGTTAGGTGTTGATTTCCTTTGTGACAAAAATGATTGTTTTGACGCGTTTGTCTCGTGTGACTCGCGTGGAGTGCGCGATAAACCACAACCAAAATCGCAGCCAAAACCAAAGTGCATGACCAAGCATCGTAAAGGGGATGAAATAAACTTGGGAGTAATGTAGTTGTGGTAGAATATTTTTTTTATATAAACAATAATGAAATACCACATGAGGTCTCGCGCGAAAACATAATCTCTTCACATGTGAAAATAGTAACACATGATAGATCTCCATTGCTATGGTTACGTAAAAAATTGCACCGCTCCTTTCGCTGCAAAAAATATTCAAGTCAAATGATTTGGTTTTTAATGGGTGTTTATATCATAAATAGACATTATATGGCCGCTTGGAGATACATAACTTCTCTTCTCGTGTCAAAAAACAGAGTTTGCCTAATCCCCGCCTAATCGTCACCCACGACCCACGACCCACAACCATTGGACTAACTCTGAAAAACATTGTACTCGTTTGCAGCGCTCCGCAGGATATATTTTTTATCAAACGAAGAGTTATTCCGTATCTCCGCGCTGATATGCAATATCCTCTGTTTGTTGCCTCGTACTCAAACGCTAAAAAAAGGTTTAAAGGCTTGTTTATAGTGGAAAGTACATTTAGCTTGTCCAGCTAGTTTACGAGGGTCTCAATGAGCTGGTGTATTTTACGGTTATGGGCTAAAATTTCGGCTTTTTTACGGCTGTTGGTTAATTTTTTCAGTTATGGTTAACAAAAAAGTTAAAAATGAATTTCTTTTGTTTCAAAGAGTTAAATATTAATAACCCTGTATTTTTTGTATCTTCAAAGCAAAAAAAGGTCTTAGGATCATCTCGGGATAAACTGAAGCTATTCTTTTTGAAAAATTTTAACATTTGATAGATCACACTTTTTATAAAGTATTCCATTTCTAATATTATTTTACGCATACAAATGTCAATCGTCAATTTAAAAATAATCTTTGGAAAAAGGCAAAAGCAGACACCCGAACGCTCAACTCAAGGCCGGGGCGCGACATTCATTTATAACAGTAATGGTCGTTTTCATACTAGAGACAGATTATTAGTGTGAGATGGGTTATATGTTTGATAATTCGCATCAGATAGGTAATACGTCTTAATTTGAAAATGAAATGGTTTTAATGTTGAATGAACAATCCGCCTGACTTTATCCGTCAATCTTGACGGACAGTTTATCCGTTTAGATTATCCGTTTCAGATAGCCTATGTACAGCCGCCCCCTTCCCTCAGAAAAAATCGAAGAAGTGGTGTCTGTTGGGGAGGGGGCGACTGTACACAGGTCAGTCTCAGACGGATAATCCATTTCTTGCTTTACTTTGAAAACGGCCAGTGTTTTTAATGATAGCGAAGGACTGTAGAGAACGTCTGCCTGCTGTTGGCTTGTCCATAGGCCTCATCAGTATTCCGCGCGACTAATGCGTTTTGGGTCACGTGGTCCGAGCGAGTTTTTTTTTCTCAGATACGCCACCGAAATGCCTTGACTGAGATTGCGTGGGAAGACGCCGTACAAGGACTAGGCCACAATGTTTACCGTAGCGTCATAGAAAAACAGGGAATTGTTGCAGGGATTGTTGTTTATCGGCAACGTGTTTTACAAACGGCATCTCTGGGTGTTGTTTCACTAGTATTTCGAAGGCACGTCCTCCTGAAAATCGAAAATTTTAATCCCCAGCAAGAAGCCAGATTTTCGCTATGGAAAAATTTAGATCCCCGAGAGAGTGGCGGAAATGGAGCCTAGGTCAAGGTCACAACTAAAAAGCGCTTGGCCTAACGTGCGTACGGAGTCAAAGTAGCCAGGAAATAAATAACGCAACCATTAGTTGGTTTAGCACCTTCCCAATTTCTTGCGAGTTCATCATGTTAGGGTTACTCCTAGCAGTATGCCCCCGGTGTCCATTTATACACCTGGCTCCGGTTACTCAAAAGGTGGCTCGCGCAATCCACCGGATAAATAGAGGAAAAATATTAGTGAAAAAAGTATTAGAGAAAATAATTGCGTGATCCAGTGAATAGTGATTTATCGTTTGTATAGCTCTATCCAACTTTAGTGCAACTAAGGCCTGGGTGGGAAGAACAATTGTTTTTCTTTTAGAAAATCAACGCAATGACAGCGTTCGTTCACAGGCCGAAAGATCCTAAAACTACCGTTTTGTTAACCTCTTATACTTGGCCGAAGGTATAGACACAAAAGGCGGGGACCAGACAGTGGCATCCATGGATGCCCATGGACAACTGTTTTGCCCTTATCAAAGCTGATCAGCATGATAAAACCATCAGGCGTCTGAACAATCAAAACCATTTTCAGTTGCCCATTACTGCCGAGAAGAGTGCAAATTAAAAGCACTCCTTTAAGCGCCAGTTCCACACAACACAAGCGGGAGCTGTTGGCTGAGAACCACTCGACAGCCTCGCCTTGTTCAAATATATATTTAATGACGGATTTATAAGAGAGGTCCATTTAGCCCAAACGGAGTGCTACAGTTCTGTTGGGGTCCTCCGTCTGAAACAAGTTAGCGTTAATTTATACTACATCATGGTTACGCGCCTGATTTCAATAAAAAAAACCTTTCAGTCACTTTCTTTGACTCTCTTTAAGGTCTACCCAATAGTGTCCTCTTAGAGGGAGGGTTGGATGAAAAACATTACCACACAAACAAATTTGGCATTTTAAACGTCGTTTTATTTAATTGGTTATATTAATCGCTTAACACTGAGAAACTTAAGAATTATTCCCACTGAAAGTTTCTTGGTAGCCGTTGAATGAATTCTCTGAATATAGCTCCTAATCGATCAGGACTACAAGCTCTTAATCTCGTACCCAGATCTCAGAGTGAGATCTGGGTACGAGATTAGCAAGCTCTGTTTAGGGTGAACTTGGGTATGTTTGCCCCAGGGCCCCTTCACTTTCAATTGTTTCACTGCCTCCGTTTATGCTGTCGCACATCACTACTCCAGACGTCTCAGTTTGCTGTCCAAAGTAGGCCGATACCCTCTTGTTCAGAGTTGTGACGTCAGTGGGGTTACGAGCGTAGAAGAAAATAGACTGAGAGTGAACTGGATCACACACTGCCTTCCAGTAGTACTTTGGAATCACAACACGTCTATTCAACGTTAGTGGAGTTCTAGCTCTATTTGTTGCTTGCCCACCTAAATAACAACGTTAACACAAAGTTACACTCATTTTCAACAAGTGGGAAAGGACGCCAAAGACTCATCCATGGAAAAGTGTGGATAAAATATTAGTAGCTTTCAACTTGCAAGCCAAGGAAGGTTTAAATTGTAATGCACAAGTCATTTCCGGCTGGTTCCTTCCCCCTGGCTAACCCGCGGGAACCCCTGAGCATTACTAAGCATTTTTTTCTTGCAAAGTAAATTCCGGGGGATGGAGACACTTAAATTTCCAAATACCGACCGGTGTGGGGACTTAAATAGTCTATAACAATAATTTACCTATAAGAAAAGCAATCTACATTCTAGAGATCGATAACCTTCGCCGCACCCTCCCTAGCCTCAGAAAATCTACTACCATTGGAAGTGAAACGCTAAATTGTGCTACTAACTTGTGCCAGTAAATATATAGAGCTCATGTCTCTCAATGTTTGCAAACCGTCTCAGAAATTGTTCCATTACACACCAGTTTCCATCATTAAATCCCTGCCACTGCGGTGCAATGTTGGTTGGTAACATTGTCTTTTGACGATGATTTTCGTCGGCATAATCCGCATTTGGAGTCAGATGTCCTGTTTTGCTGTGGGTTGTACCCGTTAATAAGTTGGCCTTGAGAGGCGGAATAGTCAGAAAGGAGTGCCACCGGTTCTTAGAAAACAAATGAATGTAAGCAAAAATAGAGGAAAAGAAAGATGAAAAGAGGAAGCGAAAATGTGTAATATGATGTGTGATGTAGTAATTAGAATTTAAGGGTTACTGATAAGTTAAAATCGACCAAGCCTTTTATTGATACTATTATCGCGCGATATGACCCTGGTTCAAGAGGCCCTTTCTCGAAATGTCTAGGATAAAATAACCGTGCAGTCGGTTTTATAAGCTTTCTAGACGGAATTAAGAAAGAAAAAAACCTCGGGCACCTAGGGTTTACTGAATGGAGTACTAACTTGCTAGATCACAACGATCTAACATAGAAATAGAGGACTGTCTTTATTCAGTTTGTACTAGTGCTGGAATAGTTGTGTACCTGTGTCTTTATATACTTGTGCATTATCTTAAAACCTGCTTGGATCGTTGGTTACGCTTAACTGTAAGAATTAAATTGTAAAAAACATTGGCTTAAACAAACACACACAAAAAGAATAGACCAAGAGAATAGAAAATAACTTGCCAACAGTTCGGTCGATTGCCCATTCGTCTCTTCCCCCAGCTTGTGGTTCGAAGGGATATAAAACATGCCCAGTGAATTCTGGAATAAGTGTGTTTGTGTTGTAGCAAACAGCATACTGAGCTCTGTCTTCATCCTCCGGATCTGTGCCATCTTGTTGTAAATATCGCCCTTGGCATTTTACAGGCATTTGCAGGACAGGGGTATTTCCATTAACAAAACTTGTCCAGGATGTGAACAGACACCTGTTGAAGTTTGAATCGAAGGAATTCACGACCGGGTTTCGTTGTTGCGGGACAGCTCTCTTCTGGTACATTGCTGAAACTGGAAGCAACTCGTTATTATCAAAAGTGTTGGTATTCTGTAGTGATAGCTATTTACTTGAAATTTTTTGATTGAGAGATTTTACTTGGATACTTATGTGAAAGAGATTTATAGTATTACCTTCTTTATTTATTTTCAATGTTGCTCCTTGAAGGATGGAAAGAGAAAACAGGAAGGCCACCAACGTTCGCTTGAGTCGCATCACTGGTCTCAGTATAAGCCAGAAATCTCCAAGATCCTTTTAAGTTAAAAGAATATAGAAAGTAAGAATTTAGCATTCTCAACCTGTCTAACATGTATGCACACTTTACAGCCAGAAATTAATTATAAATTTTGAGGTAAAGAAGAAAATATACGCAGCCTGTCTAATTGAGGACCGCAATGAGCTGTCTTGGACCATGAAACTGAGCCCACAGCCTATCTAGGCTATGAACTGCTGCTGCTTGGAAGCCCTTACCCCCACTCCCCTCCACTTATAAGGCTCCACAGTTATAGGCCCATCTAACCGCTAGCCGAATTTTGAAAACATGCTTCCAAAACCCCCATAATATTCTGGGGTGACTGTGGCGAAAATGTTTACATTGGGCTTGCCGTGTTGGCTAGTCTCATCGTCAAGATCAGGCCCTAAGTTAACTTTCCATGGAGTAATAATAATAATATAATAATTTAATTCTTATATTGCGCGCTTTCCATGAAATGATCAAGCGCCCATATATGACTTCTATCTATAATAATTTAATACAGGGTATCTAACTAATAATTATTTAAATTATACTATGATAAAATTAAAATATACAACATATGTTAAGATACTATACTAGTAATTATCGTGATAAAAATTAATTAAAAGCTTCCCTTAAGAGGTGCGTTTTCACATGGCACTTAAAAATCCCTAGATCTGTAATAGAACGAATCCCGCGAGGTAATACATTCCAAAGTTCCGGAGCTGCGACCTGGAATGATCTGTCTCCTAATGTAACCCTACTTTTATAAGTTGGCGTTGCAAGCAACAAACCATCCGAGGAGGATCTTAAATTATAATTTCTTGATCTTTTAATCGACACAAGTTCTCTTAAATACGTTGGCGCGAATCCATAGACGGCCTTAAAAACAAATAGTAGAATCTTAAAACTAATGCGTTGCCTAACCGGTAGCCAGTTCAGCTCGTACAGCAACGGCGTTATGCGACAGTAGCGTGGCGCGCGACAAACTAGTCTTGCTGCGGCATTTAAAACGCGCTGAACCTTATTCAGGTGAGAAGCTGGCAAGCCATATAAAAGACTATTACAATAATCTACGC